CTGCTTTGGGGCCTCAGCCCTTGCTGTGCTCAGTGGCTGCATCACACTCTGCCTACAACCAGCAGGATATTGCGACAAAGGCATACTGCCCCACATGACAGAACTGGAACTTCTGCCTGTAAATCCCTGGCAGCTTCAGGCTAGCCATGCTGGGATTGCTGGCAGGACAGCTAGAGCACTGGGATGCCAAGGAAAGAACACAGACTGAAGTGCCCAAGAAAGCAGATTAATCTGCTTACCTTACCCAAGCTGACTTGAAACTATATAAGGTTCAGTTATTGTAGAGGCTTCAGTGGAGGGATTTTCTTGGAAAATTCCTGTAAGGGAAGAAGAGAAAGAAAAGTTCAGCTATATCCATGTATTTTTAAAACCCTTTTCCTTACACTCTGACTGTAAGTGGGCTTCCAGAACAGAATATTCTGGAGCGCAAATACTGAATAGAGCTGTATTTGTAGTTTTCTGCAGCAATTCTGTTTATTATTAATTTAAAAAAAAATCTTAGACTAAAAGGTTATTATGTTTTAAAAGATGTCTGTAGTTTTACTCTTTAATTACAAGCCTATTTCCTTGCTAAATTCTCTGACAGACTTTGCAAGCCAAATCTTAAAAAAAACAGCCCCTACAGAAGAGCACTTCAAATATGCTTAAAGTAGTCTTATTGCTTGTCTGTCTTACCCAGCTGTCCCAGGAATTCAAGCTAGAAAATAAGTGTAGCAAAGGCTTTTCCTAACTGTTCCTTTTCGGATGTGCATTCAGGCCTGTGCAGAGCCTGCTGGCTATACAGAGTGCCTCTTTCACAACGTCAGTCCATTTTCACCATTTTCTTGGACAGCCCTTTAAAGCTGAAGTGGATTTTTAAGTATTAACTTCTAAAATTTAGTTTTCAAAGCTTGGAGAGAACAGCTGTGCTCCTGACTATTTCAGTGCCGGTGGCACCATGCAAAACATACAGTCCATTTCTCTAGCATCTATTTTCCCAGCTATGATTCCACACACATGGATTTCAACTGTCTAATAACTCCTATCTTTCATGTTCTTTTACCTTTCTCGAGGAACATACAGTGCCACTTTCCAACAACTAAAAGTGTTTGCCAGAATAAAGGCCAGTTTCTGAACTATTCTGAGAGCATTTGACAAACTTCAGAACTGCAGCATTCAAAGCCACTTAAGACCTCCCAGTAACTTGAGACAGAGTGTAGTATACAATTTTCAGTGAAGCAATTTATAATACACTGAAGTGTTGTAGACAACATTTGAAACATGTCATGAGGAGCTTTTACAACTGCTATTGTGCGATGAGCTCGCAACTTTTCTTGTCATAGAGCCCTGACATACTGTTCACAACACTTAATTCCCATTTCTTAAAAATACTTTTTCTGCTTTAAAATAAACTTTAAAACATGAGATTAAAATGAAACATTTTCACTTTTTTTTGTAGAACTTTCCAATTGAAAGGCTTTTAAACTTTTTTCACCATTCCTTATGAAAGCTAGAAATTCATTTTAGTCTTGAAAATGAAAGCTGAGATTTTCCAGATGCTTGCAATTGCAGCTTTAAGCTAACTACCACTGTACTAGAAAATAACAGCACATAGAGGGCAATCCGAGGCTTCAGGGTAATATTTATTCTACTAGTTTTTGATGCACAAATAAAGCATCTACTTAGCAGGCTTAGGAAGTACTGTTAATACCCCCCCTTTTTTTCCAGTTTAGCTGTAGCTCTCTATAATGAAAAGGAAAGAGGTAAAAAGATTTAAAAAAAAAAATGTATCACTTCCTCCTGCCTTTCTCTTTTTCTGTCATCACCCTCTTCATCTTGCTTCTCCGAATACATGTAGCTGCTTAAGCAGGGTGGAAAGGGCATGAAGGAATAGAGGGGTTAAAAGGTTGTGATCTTTAAGCAAAGTAGAATTGATCAAGCCAATTCTACATGGGACGTTCTTGCACAGGTGTTTTGAATGCATAAAGTGCTAGGTGAGAGGTAATCAAGAGAGTAACGAATGTATTCCTTATGATATTGTTTAAGAGGTTTCAGGATTCCCAACTAAATTTGGTGAAGTATTATGCTCAGCTAAAGCAGCTTGCAGTAGTTTAGCTGCCCTTGTATCAAAACTAGTTTGATTGAAAAACATGCTTAGGAATAATTAGTGGGGCAGTGGGGGAGCACCAGAGCCTTGTTCTGTATGTTTCTCAAGAACAGACCAAAGGTGGCCAAGAGTTGTAGCCCAACACAGTACAGATGGCAGAAAGAAGAAGAGATGCTGTCCAGAGCTCTCCCAGGAGAGCACAGAAAGCCTGAGGAGGAGAGCTGCAACATGGCAACACAAACAGATTGTTTAATCCTTCCTTCCCCTTCCTACTGCCTGTGGTGCATCTCTGAAATGTGTTGATGTACAAGCTATGTAGATGGAGTAGGACAGTTAGGGATGTAAACACCTGGGACTCATAATGATACAGTTGCTGTGAGTATCCAAACAAGAGGGTAAATAAGAGACCAAACTAAGGCAAAGCAACACAGGAACAGAGGACAGCTTTGGGGCAGCTTTGAAAGTTGTGAGATGATGTACATACTCCTGCATTTTTTGTGGCTCTGTAGTAATATTTTCTGTTAAGGCTGCAAGGAAACTCTGAAATTCAGACTGCTGCACTGCTGAGCTGATGCAGGCTCATTTCCATGAATCCCAATGTTAGCACACTTGGTCTCTCTGAAATCAGACACCTAAATATGTATTAACTACTGCTTTCACATTACATATATTTAGTCCAGCTGCTGGAAGTTCTAGCTGTATTTAAACACCCTGGAAGAGGATGCTAACCAGTTCAACACCACAGAGTCTGTCTTCCACTGCAAAGCTGCCAGAAGCTTCTTACAGAATTAATGCACAAGCTCAGCTCCACGGGACAAACTGTGCTGCTAGTTGAAGACATAAACCAGAGCACACAGCCAGGAAAAAGCTCTCACAACTGACTACTCTGAAAGACTGATCTAAACAGCTCAAGCTACTGATGCCTGAAACATCACTAGGTTCACAGATCATAAAAAAAGATGTTAACTGTAGGTGCCTCAAGATAAACTCATTCCCTAGAGATAACACAGAGGACCCAGTCATGCTGCTAATGCTAAGAGGTTTAGCAGAGAGCTTAAAAAAAAGATTATTTGAGTGTACCTAGATTTCCAGGCTCTCCTGCATTATTTCTTTTCCTGGGCATTTTTGGTCAAACTGCAATCCAGGAATCGTTTCTCTTTCCTCATGTCTCCAGGTGATAGGCCAAAAGGTAGAACCACTTTGGTAGTGCTAAAGGCACAGACTTCCCTGTGTAACAGTTCATAGAATCATAGAATAGTTACGGTTGGAAAGGACTTTAAGATCACGATGGGGAGTGTCTTCGCAACTTCATTTGCCAGCTCCCTCAGGACCCGTGGATGGATCTCATCAGGTCCCATGGACTTGTGCATGTTCAGGTTCTTAACATGGTCTCGAACCAGATCCTCTCCTACAGTGGGCGCAAGGTCTTCATTCTCACAGTCCCTGTATCTGCCTTCCAAGACTTGGGTGGTGTGGTCAGAGCCTTTGGCAGTGAAGACCGTGGCAAAGAAGCCATTAAAAACCTCAGCCTTCTCCAAATGCAGTGTAGCTAATTCTCCCAATAGCTTCCAGATGGGGCCCATGTTGTCCCTAGTCTGTCTTTTATTCACTACGTACCTATGGAACCCCTTCCTGTTATCTTTAACATCCCTATCCAAGTTTAATTGTAACTGGGCCTTAGCTTTCCTAACCTGGTCCCTAGCTTCCCTGACAACATCCCTGTATTCTTCCCAGGCCGCCTGTCCTTGCTTCCACCTTTTATAAGCCTCTTTTTCCCTTTGAAATTTCCCAGCAGCTCCTTATCCATCCAAGGAGGTCTCCTGGCCCTCCTGCTGCAATTCCTTCTAGTTGGGATGCAACACTCCCGAGCTTGTAGCAGGTGATCCTTGAATATCAACCAACAGTCCCCTGATCATCCTTGTGGCCCTCCTCTGGACTTGTTCCAACAGTTCCATGTCCTTTTTATGTTGAGGACACCAGAACTGCACACAGTACTCCAGGTGAGGTCTCACAAGAGCAGAGTAGAGGGGCAGGATCACCTCCTTTGACCTACTGGTCATGCTCCTTTTGATGCAGCCCAGGATACTGTTGGCTTTCTGGGCTGCGAGCACACACTGCTGCCTCATGTTAAGTAAGTTTCTCATAGACCAACACCTCGAAGTCCTTCTCCGCGGGGCTGCTCTGAATCTCTTCTCTGCCCAACCTGTGGCTGTGCCTGGGATTGCTCCGACCCAGGTGCAGGACCTTGCACTTGGCATGGTTCTCCGCATATTTCACACAAGAGGGTGATGCCTTCACAATGGAAACAAGCCAGAGGTAAGGGCACGTTTCTCATCCACTCTGAGCGTAAGTTAACCACCCCTTCCCCCATATTTATGTGTTGTAATTAAAAAATAAAGCAGTAAGTATAAGCTGCTACTGACTGAAATAGCTGCCTACTTCCACCTTGCATATCCCACTGAAAATTGTCACTTGTGATATAATGAGAATGAAAAGAGCTTTTTAGAGATTGGGGTTTTTTGGTGTTTTTTTTTTGTTTTTTTTTGTTTTTTTTTCACATGTGTCAGGATAACTGTTCCTAAGCCTGTACTTAGCCTGAAATTGTGTTTTAGAAAGATAAACCTAGGAGCTGATTAACAAACATTGCTCTCATCCTGAGTTGCTCAGAAGCTCTGCAGAGGTCATATTAGCACCAAATGAGAAGGTTTTAATCAGGCGTATAGCAGCAAATACAGATTAGCTGATAATTAATACAAAATTCAGTGGTCATCAGGGATGCTGATTTAAGCTTCTTGGAAAATAACAGGCCACAGTTTTAAACTCTCTCTCTTTTCACCACCTACCAAATAAAGGTGTCCCTAAAGAAAGGTGTGCCTAACATACATGGTGAGAAAGGTCAGAACTTAGTGCTTTTATAGAAACAAACTTCTGTCAGCCACATAACTGAGAGCAAAAACTTTGGGTTTTCTCAGACTCATAAGCTCAAGAACTCACAAATAATTAAGGCATGTGAATTTGAACAATTCATGTTATTCCATTTTCTAGAGTTCTGTATTATTTCACAGTCTTCATTTTTTAGACTGTTTGGTTCTTCAGCATTCCAGTTTCTGTAAGTTACAGCTCCTCCATTCAGATACAGAAACCTGTCTTCAGTCTGTTCATTAGAGCATATAACCCTGCTTCCAAGCTGTTAAGTGTTTTAAGGCCATGTTTTCAGCCTCCTAGGAGAGGCAAGTGTATTTCCAGCTTTTGACCAAGATTTTCAATTTACAAAAGTATCTTATTTTCCAGTTGTGAAAATTTTCTTTTATCAATACTCTTGATATTCTTTCACATGAAACCTAGAAACAAAAGTGAACATAGTTGTATTATACAAAAAATTGATCATGTTATAGCTATTTATCCTTATCACAATTGTAGTTCGGAAGTAGCTAATACCAGCTATAAGCAGACTATTTCTTGAAGTAGTAGGAAGAATCCAACAGAAGTCAAACAAAATAGACACCTGGAAATACCACACCCACACTTCAAGAAAACTGGGATTTTACAAGAAACTGGATCACCAGTCTCATTCTAAGGTTTTCCATTTCCAGTTCTAATAGTACTGCAGCTCTTGAATCAGAATCTGTAGCAATTCCCACTCAAACTGCAATCATGACAAAATAGCTTGCCAGATCAATTAAAATCATACAAGGCAACTGAGCTGCAGATCTTCTGTACCCATCAGCCTTAGCACAGAAACCAAAGCTGAGGAGCTGTAACAGAATTCAGGGCTTAAAACAGCAGAGCCAGAAGAGGAGATATAGGTACAGCTCTAAAGAGGCTAGGAAACTGAGCCTCCAGAAAATATAAATTATCTTAGGAGAAGTGGGAAAGTCAAGCTTACATGCTTGACAGGCTTTCATGATAAATACTGGAAAGTGAAGCTCTTGCTCATTTAGCAGATAAAACTGCTAGCAGCAATTCTTTTGAAACAGTTACTGTCTTTAATGGGCAAGTTACTTTATCTTATTGTCTTTAACAGGTTTCTGGGATTAATGTTAAGGCAGTCCACCACTTTATAGCAATGATATGAACACTGGGACATATGCATAGTTAAATTTTCCTCTGGTGTTTTGGGAATGGTACCAGCACAATGCTCTTGTGGGCAGTGAACCCCACTATGATTCTGTGCCAGCTAAAACCTTCACAATGGTTTCAGACAGCCTTTTCTAGGGTGCTGATACATAAGCACTGACAAAAAGGAGATGGCTGAAGTGATTACTGCTACCAGCTGTTCAGCCTCTCTGTGCTCTTCAGTTTCTTGCCCCAATTTCAGGTTAGCTTTCACGCTTTATGCACAACTATGGCTTCAAAGTTGTGCATTCTGCAGGGAAGACACCCCTTGAAAGAGCTATATGATGAAATGAGCTGTTCTACTGACGCTCATGATGTGGTAAATTGCAGCCTGTGAAATTTTCTCCTGTTAGTTTAAGAACATTGATGGACCTTGTGCTTTTCCTAATCCAGCATTTGTACCAAGGTAGTAGTGCACTGATGGGCTATTCTTTGAAAGTTTTCATACAGTATCTCTTGAGAAAGCACTTGCAGCCAGGCTCAGGCAGACAGCATCCCAATCCATGTCTACTCATAGAAAATGGTCTAGAACTGAGGCAATAAGAGAAATGTAATGCAATGCTTAAAGCATGAGCACCCAGAGAACAGTAACTGCTCCTGCTTGTCTCTGCAGGTCATTGGTTACTACAAGTACGAGTTATTTAGTAATTTATACTACACAGCAACTGTCTCTGTGATGCTTAACTCTCTTGTGACCTGGTGTCATGTGGGATAGCTATTTGGTTTCCAGAGCAGAAACCACAGGCCACATTGCAGAGTGGTTCCATGGGAATTTTTCCCACTTGGAAAGACTTCCTTACCGGGAAGACTGGGTGGGCTTTAAATTCTGCCAAAGTCATCTTCTGTTCAAGGGTAAAATCCCAGTTCTCAAAGGCAAAACACACATGTAAACGTTTTTAAATGAATCAAACTTGAAGTAAAAACCACATGAACAGGCAAAGAATGGAAGAAAAAAAATACTGTTTATAACATGAAATAGGGTGTTTGTTATTTCACTCACAGACAACAATAAACTAGTGACTCATTCAAGATGCTTTTTCCCCCCAGTCATGTTGGTCAATTCACCCCCTATGAAACAGATGGGTTATCTTTCTGCTCCTCACACTTCTGGAAATCACACTTTTCCTCAAATGATGTTACAAGAATACTGGACATTAACACATATTTTGTTTGAAAGATAAACTGAAAGGTTGAAAGCCAGATTATAGAAACATGAGAAATTTATTTCTTCTATGATCTCCTTCTTCCACTTTCTCTCCTTGAGGTCCTAAATCGCCTTTTATTCCTGGAAACCCTGTAGACCTCTCAGTTCTTCTCCTAAAGTTCAATTAAAATAAAATTTTTAGAATGTTTTATAGGTTTTTCTCCCACTATGTTTTCTTAGTATTTAGAGAGAGTACCAAACACTGACTCTTTCCCGCCCCCAGGAAAATAAAAATATCTCAGGAAAATTGTATTGTTTCTATGGAAAGCTGCAGTTACTAGGAAATGCATTACTTTGATGAAAAATATCAACTTATGACACTGAAAATCCGATGAAATAAATGCCATCTCATGTTAGAAACTAGAAACCCAATATACTTCAGCTGTAATCCAGTCACACATCACAGTATATGAGCTAGAAAATGAGCTTAAATCATAAGGATACCTCTGAAGCAGTTTGCTGGAACAGATAGTGCTGGCTTTATTTATTTCAACTGTGAAATTGCAGAGGACGTACTGAGGGTATGTGGACTGGAAAATGTCTATGCAGAATATTAATATATGCCACTGAAAAATTTTATGTCATAGTTCATATTAGGAGGCATTGATAACAATGGGAGTTTGCTTGGAGGTTGAAAAGCAGTTATCTAATTCCAAAATGTGTGATGGTATCTACATAACACCACAGACAGCATACAGTAACAAAGTATACAGTTCCATATGTACTTATTAATTATTTGGACAGAAACTTATTTGGGAACTTGGGAGAGCAGGTGACTTTGGTTCTATCACATGACAGAGATCATTTGCTGATCTATTTGCTGTTTACAGCAGTGCATGTCTTGCCTTGGGGGAATTCTGTTGTTGGGACTTGGTGAGTATGAAGCAATCAAGTTATGACTGTCAGATTAGTAGACAACTCTTGCAAACACGATTTCTGGTTTTGAGAGCTGGCCCCTGGAAAGGAAAAGCAATAATCATTTAGTAGGGTATTGTAGGAAACTCTGTATATGATTTAGAGTCCAAATGGTACAATTGGGTTAAAATATCATTCCATATCTTTTTTATTTATTTATTTATTTATTAAAATCCAAGTATCTGGAGTAGCATTATAAATGCAGAAAGGATTTTCAGCTCCCTGAAATTGTGCAGAGCCTACAAAAGGCTAATGGTGCAGAAGAAAAGGAGAGAAGAAGAAAGACAAAATGAAAGAATGAAGGAGGCATGAAACAAGACTAAAGGGATGATGAGTGTTGAAAATACAATGTTGCTAAATGGTCATAGCTCTGTACCTGGTTCTCCTTTGTCAGCTTTGGGACCACCTCTTCCATCTCTGCCTGGTAAGCCATTGACTGCAGGAGCACTGCAGGTTTACCTGTGTTAACTGAACTTGTTACCATCATCAGTGAAAGACATAATAACAAGTCTTTGAAAGGCAGAAGAGTAATTGCTAAGTTCACAGATCTGTGACAAATCAAGCAGAGTAGTTTAATAAATTTATCTGTTTATATAATTTTAAAGGGTTGCTTAGGAAAGAATTGCCTACATTGCGTAGGAAATAGACTCCCATCTTCAGGAAAAGACCAAAACCAAGGTATAGTGTCTGAACCACTTCATCTATCCTCTGATTGTAATCTTTATGTATGGAAACCAGAAAAGAAGCAACCAAGCTGATAAGAATCTGAAAATCTCAAGGTGTAATGAAAATACCTAATATAACACAGCCATCGATCTCACTGTGCTGCAAATCCATTTCAATGTTTTGTTCACTGTGTGTCTAAATTTAAAGAATTCATGCCAAATGAGTCATACAGTATTCCAGTTTGGGATGAATCCTGAGCTCTCCAGCTATCGTGTTTCTGCTGGGACTCTTCTTTCCACGGCAATTAGGATTGCTGTATGTCTAAACTTAGAGTGATTAAGCTGTTTCTGTTGATAGTATCTCCACTGTAAGAAAACACGCATAGCTTAAAGAGTAAAAATCTTAAGTGCATTTAAATAATAATGATCTACTTGCCTCCTAATTTCTCCTTTCAGATCTTGTATATTTGTAAGGTACATTACTTCCTCAGTATTATGCTTCAGAGCCAAAGTCCTCTTGGATCCTAGATTTTCAATATTTTGCTGCCCTCTTTGAGCAGAACAGTAACAGGCAGTAATGTCAAAAGGTAAAGCTCTACATGACATTCTGACAATATGCACCACAGTAATTGTCCTTTATTATAATATGAGGGTCAAATCTGAGGTAATCATTTCCCATGTATTCTGTGTTTAACTCAAAAAACAAAAAGAAATGACCACATATGTGAGCTGGCAAAATTTCAAGGTTAATAAGTTACGTACTAAAGTCAATCGGCCTTATTTTCTACCAGTTCTACCAGTCAAAATGAAAAAAAAACACTAATTTGGTTGACAGATTGGGATAAGGAGAGAAAAAAAAATCCAGCATGAATTTTGCTACACATCTCAATTATTTCTCTTTATTTTAAGCTTCAGAAAAGATTACCCACAGAGAGCAGCTTCGTGTTATGTTTCATCTGATAAAGTACAATATAAAATATAATCACTAGCATATTACTGTGAGAACATTATCATTAGGGTAAAAGGCAATTTAGGAAGCACCACTTCTCTGTATACTACTTTCTTCTTCCTCCTTTAGGCTCACATCAAAATGTGTGTCAATGGCATACACAAAAATAAAATAAGGAAAGGTATTCAGCTAACTAGTAAAACAAAACTTGAATCCTGGTATATATTTCTGATCCAGCTTCCTGGACTCAAGCCAGTTCTTAACAGCCCTCTAAGGATTACCCACTAGCAGGGAAGTTGACATTAAAGCTGTCTCCCATGAATTCAGTAAGACAAAGCTCAGAAGAATGGCACAATAAAAGAAATCTTGAAAACCAAATGTTAAGCTCTCAGAGAAGTCCACTCCCTGCAGAGATTCAACCTCACACACACCTTTGTTGGTTTGCCTATCAGGAGCTAAGATGTATTTACTTCCAAAGTTATCCAAGTCTACCACCTGCCACAGAAAATATATGGACTCAGTCAGAGATCAGTATGATCAGACAAAAGCCATTTATTGCAAAGCCTTAACCCCTTAAATACTATTTCTTACATGCACTTACAGTGATTTGGCATATTATAATTGGATGCATGTCTCGAAGACCCGTAGTGACTAACATACAATTGGTTAAGCACAGGTGTGAGAACTTGACCTCAAAAGCTTGCCAACAGTCCACAGTTCTCATAACTTAGTGAATTCCAGCTTCTTCTTATCTTGCTTGCTTAAGCTTCCTTGGGCCTCTCATGGTCTTGCTGTATCTTTCAGGATTATTCAGAGTTTGTGTACCAATTATCCATTCTCCTGTGAGAACACTGTCCACAACCACCCCAAAATTCTATGAGATCTGAAGTACCTGTTTACCAAACTGGTGGCAGGGTTTCCTAGCAATGAAATAATTTCCCAAAGAGAGAAACAATAATTTGCACCAACAATGGTTTAGATAAAAATCAAAATGCTACAAATTTCTCACAAAAGTGGAATAAACCTTAGGGATCTGAAATAGAAAAAGTAGGTTTTCATAGACAGGTTTTGCAGTCAACATTCGATGGACAATCAAATACTGAGAATCCTGCCAAGTGTGGAACTTAATGACGGTCCTTAGGTCCCAAGGCTTACACAGTTGCAGACTTTATCAGCAGACATCAGAATTAGGCCTTGAAAGATGCCATGAAACTTTTATATTTAGGAGGTAGCTAGTTCTGGAAGTCCTTTTTAATGAGATAAATCTTAGGTAATTCTTTTATTCCTCCACAAAATGTGCTTTAAGACATGATTCACCCAGTTCAGGTCACATCAGTGAAATGATCCTGGAAGAGGCAGCAGGGAGCCCTTGTTCCTCATTTTGGAGGTGACAGCTTTGAGCCATTAGACTGAAACCTGAGAGTCTGACAGCACAGGACAGCCCAACTGAATTAAAGTACTAGGGAAAGTGCTTCTCTAAAGCAGGTATTACATTTATACAGAAAATAATCAGGCACAGAATGCTGTTGAACTGATAGATTACACCCTGCTACAATCCTCCTCATCAGCTTGCTTCTGTAAGGCATCTTACAGAAGTCCTTTTCAACCAGCATGTCTGCACCTGCAAGAGTTGCATGGCCTCAGTATAGTTAAATACTTATCACAGCAAAAGTTCTTTACTTACCAATACCTTTACTTGATCAATGCACAGTAAAACTCTTATCACACCACTGGCTTCCCAGCACAACAGAACATAGTAGAGAAGAACAAGGATGGAAACCTGCTGGAATTTTACCAAGAAAAAACCCCAAACAAACAAAAACCTTCTATTTTTCTAATGAAAGCTGTAATTTTGTACTTTGTTTTGGGAAGAGGTTGTTTACTTGCTTATCTCTGTCTTGCACAATCCTAATGATTGCTTACCTCAGTCTTACCACCCCTATTTACATGTATTGCATATGACATTCTGGGAGTGAGCCCTTTGCTCTTTGCATGGCCTTAGACAGATATTGGCCATGTTACAGTACAAATTAACAATGAAAAAAAAATCAGAACAACTGCAGGCAGTGAAAGATCTGACTGTAAGGCTTTCACCCTTTATTCAGTCAATTTGATTCATTTTTTTATTAATAACCTAAGAGAGAAGGATATTTGAAGCTCTGAATTAGTCCTGGAAAAAAAAATTGGCCAGCTCAAACACACCCATTTTTGTTTAAAAATGGGATGTAGGATTTAAAAAAAAAACAGAAAACCATCAGGTGAAGGGATATATCTTTAAACTTTTAAGTAAATTGCTTGATATTTGTCTTCCTAGTTGCTAGTGAAAGTCAGTGGCTAGAATAAATCAAGCTTGTGCTGTCCAGCTGGTTATGGTACCATTGTGTGTATGTGAAAAGTAGCAAGAACTCTGTGGGATGTTGTCATGGATAGCTCTGCAAAATTAATAGCATAAAATGTAATGCCAAGGAAGAGATGTCTTGGGCAATTTTGCTTGCAGATGATTTTCTTACCCAGAAGAAAGTCTCAGATACCTCCAGCTGCAAAACCCAGTTCAAAGTCCGCATTCCTGCAGAAGTGTCAGGAGTGATTTTTTTTCCCAAGTTCCCATTTCTGGGGCTGTTCTCTGAAGTGGTGCCATCAAACAGATATGTAGGCTGTTGTGCTGCCTTTGTATCTTTCCTATTCAGGAACTAGAATAAATTTAGTTTCAGTATAAATAAAATAAAAACATCAGTTCAGAGCAGTGGTATTTGTCAGTCATAATTTGATAAAAACATTGTAGAGCCAACATAATTTAACAAAGATTTGAAATTAGAGCTTTTGGGGTTTTGTTGATTTTGTTTTTGTTTTTGTTTTTTAATAAAAAGCTGAAATTTCCACACTGACCTTTGCTGTTTTGGCCAAGAACTAAAAGTGGTATCAGTATGCTCTGAACACATGGCATCCAGAGCACATCTAGTAACCTTGCAACCCACAAAAATGTCTGGTTTGTTGAATGTCTGTTGAACTTCCGTGAACATTGCTTGACTGAGAAGCAGCAGTATTAAGCAGATAGGATTCTCAGCAATTTCCCCACCACTAGGTTCTCAACAGGTCAGGACACCATCTTGCTGAAACATAGTTTGTCACACAGTACAAATTTCACTAAACTGTGGCAAACCCAGCATGTTTATATGCAGTATTCAAACCTACAGGACTATTGTAAATTCCTGCACTTAGTGAGATAAAACAAAACGAAACAAAAACCCCAAAACATAAGGGCATGTGGCTTACTAGTCACAAATTACTAAATGTTTTTTTTCACTGGATTTGTAATTTTATTTTCTATCCCCTTATTTCTTTACAGCCTTCCCTTCCTCCAGAATGATTTGGTTCTCCTGATTGCCAATTTGAGTACCGAGTTCCTCACTATTTAGATCCTTGACTGTACCTTCTTTCTACACATCATTCATTTGAGGGGATGGTCTTATGTCTGGCTTCTCTTTGATATATGGTGTAGCTCTTTGCAGATTTCCTTGGAGATGCAAGCACCCCAGCACTTGAGTGGGGTGGTGAGAACCCTTGGCTTTTAAAGTTTCAAACTTGCCTTTGGAGCCATCAGGTTTGAGTATTCTTTACCAGCAGCAGTATCATAAGGGAATAAAAGAAGTGGGAACTCTATTCAATTTTTTCATTACAGCACAACAGGGTGACAGCTCCTAGACACTTGCAAAATAATATATGGCTAAAGCACTGAACTGAAATGCACAGCTAGCTCATTGATTCACTTTGATGTCAGACCAATAGAGTGCTCTTATCCCCAAACCACGAGTTTACAGAGTATTTCAAACATTTCATTGAGACAACTGGAGTCAAGTTTAAAGGCTTTTGAGGAACAAAACCCTAGGAATAACCTTGTTTCAGAAAACTGGACTAGGCATTGTGAAATATCATTCTTAATTGGCTCTCATGCAGTTTTATTAGAGCTCTTAGAAAGATATCAAGTGGAAGCTGTCCTGTTCAGGATCCTTTTTTTTTTCAGCTACTGCTGAACCCAGGACAATAGGCCAGGCTGGACAGGGCTCTGAGCAGCCTGGTCTAGTGGAAAGTGTCCCTGCCCATGCAGGGAGGATGGAACTAGATGATCCCTTCCAACAAAAACCATTCTATGAGTCTATGATATAAAGGAACTTACTTTACACATTTGTGGTGTATGGGCTATCCATCACTCAAGCAAAGTTTTTATCCACTAGACCACTTTTCACCCACCTCTTTGACTTTTGCAAAGAATACATTGCTTAGTGCAGCTGGAAAACTAACCACAGTGTAAAATCTTAACACATTTACACCTTCGTATTTCAGAGCAGCTACAATCGTGTCCTAAATAAGAAGAATCAGGTAGCTAAAGAGACAGAGGATTTCACAAGATTTTTTCTGCTCCAGCATATAAACATACAAAGATAAATTGCAGTGCTTCACAATAACACCACAGTTTACACCTTGACATATACTCAACTGAATAAAATAAAAACTATGATGATGCTTACATAGGTGTATGGTGCCAAAATATTCAGTGCTACATTGCTCTGTGCAAGTATAGGCTAAATTGCTTAAATATTGCCATCAAAAAGTAATAAAACAAAAGTAAATGTCTTTCATACAAAGTTCAGAGCACATAATCTAACTATTGGGCTAATGGAGTCTACAGACTAATGGGGAATTTTTGTCCATTCATCTTGGAGGAACAGGAACCATTTGGCTTTCTCCTCTGCTTTTCTTTCATCTGCTGTAAATGAAAAATGACTGGAAGTGGGTTATTTTCTGCTCAGTCTGTTTCAAACACAGCCTTTTCTTGATGCTTAAGTGCTCATAAAACATCATATCTGACTTCCAGCTCTTTGCGCTAGCCACAATAGAAGATGCAGAATGGCATCTTTTGCCAAAGTTGAATGAGTTGTTCACATTTGACAACTTGATTGGTCAAGTAAAGACTCGTCAAGGGTTTTCTTCATGTTGCAACAAAAATTTGTGAAGCAGAGGCCTCTACAGTCATGCAACAACTGAGATTCATATACAGTTGAAGTACCAGAAGCTGTAAACACATTATGCTTGTCAATTTAAATATATTAAGAAATATTTAAGGAAGATTGAGCAGGTAAGAATCCAGATAGAAATCCCCCACAGATTTAGTGATGCCAGGTGGAGTCTGCTCACACTGAAAATTCTTTAATATGCACAGCAAAGCTTGTGGAGCATAGTGTAGTTACTGAGAATAAGGGATAGATGAAGTCCCTACATTTTTTCATCATTTTTCTTATGTTTCAGAAGGATTTTGCTTTTCTCTTTCTTAATGTTAATGATTTCAGAAAGTATTCAAAGTCATCAGTAGGGTCTTCAGGACTTTCATTTGCATAGCTGATTCAGAAATACTTAATATGGAAAGCAACAGATGCTAACTGGGCAAGTGAAAGCACACCCAGTAATGAATAAAGTGGCCTGTAAGTGACCTCTGGTGGACAAGAAGAACAATGTTAAATTTGTTTGCTCTATATATTCTCAGAAAGGTAGTTTATCAATTGAACTAGCCTACATCCATTCAGCTGAACATTGCCTAATATTATACCATAAAAAAGAAATCTTCCACCTGAACCAAAAAGTATGTAATGAAAAAGAATTGCAAGCTAATACAAGACTGGTCAAGTTTTGAATCATAACTTTAGTAGTCTTTGATACAAGAGGGATTCTTAATTGTTGCATGTATACCATTAACACTATACAATTAACAAAGTGAAGCTAGGGCAATATTTCAGGTAATATAAAACTCACAAGCAATTTCAAAGGGAATAGAGTGGTACTTTAAGGGCATGTTAGTCAATCCAAAACACACCAGCATTTAGAATCATAGAATAGTTAGGGTTGGAAAGGACCTTAAGATCATCTAGCTCCCAGATCATGTTAGGTGATAGAATCTATACTTCCAGCACACGCAGGCTATTCATCCCAGGCACTGTACTCAATTTTAAGAACTTATATAGCTATATATTACCATACAGAATATCCCCCCAAGGACCTTCTTCTATTTTCAAGTAAATATTTTTAAAGATAACTGTAAGCTTGGGAATTCATTTTGATCTCGTGGGTTGAAGAGTCTTCCAGCACTGGGTTTTGGGGCCCATGTTTGCAGAGTGCACATACAGTCTGAGAGACCACAAACTTTACACAAATCCATGTAGGACCTCAAAATCCTTTTTGGTAATGAAATTTGCTTTCCCTTCCTACTGTTTCTTAATTTTCCCCTGGAGCTAAAATTCCAATAGCTTCTCACATGGGTCTAACAATAGACATGGGAGACAGTTTGCTGTACAGAAATAGCACACTGAAATTGTTTCCAAGGAAAACCAGTCTGTCTTGGCAACAGTTGTCCTGGCAACTAAGTCTCCTTGAAGAGGATGATAGCCACTGATCTGTGGAAACAGATCAGCGAGGCATTTTTTTCAGACACGAGAGGGGCTAGGGAATAGAGCTGGAGAGCCCCCACCATTTGGCTTCCCTGACTTGTCCTACTGGGACAAGGAATTCCCACTAGCCAAAGAGGTTAACTGAAATTCTGTCCCTTCAGCATAGATCCAGGATGTGCTAATTACAAGGCATATTAATAGGCAGCATCCTTAGACACCTTTTTTTAAAAATTTATTTATTTTTAGCTAGTCATGTTTAGGACTGGCTTAACTGGAAAATTGCACTGGAAAAATCACATTGGAACATAAGTCAACACAGCTGTGACAGTACTAAGCGGAGCACAGATAAAAATGGCAGAGCACATTTCTGAGCACAGAAGACAATATGAAAGCTTTGAAGAGCTACATAGCTTTTGGTATTGTACTTTACATGGAGAGTGATGCAGGTGCCCATCAAAGCTAGCACTGCTCCAGGAAGGCTGGGCTGTGCTTGTAACAGCCCAGCACCAGCCCCAAGCCTAAATGAAGCCTAAGGCTCACAACAAGGTGTTCAAATGCTGGTCTTTTGCCTTGGACAGTGTTTCCTTGTGTGGCTCTCCCTGATTGCCTGTTATGACTTGATTGCTCTTTCTGCTAGAGTGGCCTTACTACAAGTTAATAGCACTTTGGGACAAAGCATATGCTATTTTAATTGCTGCTC